TCCCCCACTACATTGCAGTCACTAACCCCAGGGCTTGTCTGTTGTGCGGGAGATGCTGTTAGTTTCTAGCTTGAAAGGGAATCTTGCAAGGGGTGATTGTGAGACACAGCTGGGAAACTTTCATCCTACAATATGAAAGGGCTACGTTCTTGCTCCTAGCTAAAAGGTCCCACCAATTACAGCATTAATGCCAATGAAGTGTCTATGTTGGCCAGGAGCACCAATTACAGCATTAATGCCAATGAAGTGTGTATGTTGGCCAGGAACCCAGTTTCTAAGGCAGATACTTCACTTTAACATTTTGTAACTAGTTAATTTTTCTGGGTATTTTATCCCCAGGACTTGATGAAAATCATCTATGTAGATGACAACACTCAGGTACTTCTGGACACTGATTTTTAGGAAGTGCAGACAAAGCTGATGCACAAGTGATGGATACGAAGGTGGGGATACGCACGGTTTGTGTGAGTCCCAGTGGGGAGCACCTGGCCTCGGGGGACAGGATAGGCACTCTCAGGTAATCCCATGGAGCTTCTTGTGCAGGCTGTGGCCTGGGTAGGCATGAGAATCAAAACCAGGTCTTGTTAATTTTATTAAATGTACTGAAATCAGCCATGTTGTGTTTTAGGATATATGAGCTGCAGTCTCTGAGGGAAATGCTGAAGGTGGAAGCCCATGACTCTGAAATCCTATGTCTAGAGTACTCCAAACCTGACACAGGTAAATGCAATTGAGATTCTTTGTTTTTGCATATGAATCTAGTGTTGAGCAAGTCAGAATGTCCCTAGCCATGGTATGTCAGAGCTTTCCATGGTGAGCTACTCCTGGATTTCAGAGCAGGCTTGTAGTATTGGGCCAGCAGGGCCAGACTTTGAAAAAGGCTTCTTATACTTTTTCTTGGACTATTTTAGGTTGAGATTGAAACTGTCTGTTGCTGTTATTATAGTGTGAAATCCAGGGGTGTTCCTTTGTATCCATCCATGTGGTTAGCCACAATGTAATGTTTTGTCCCTAAGATGACTTGAAAAGCTGTTTTAAAATAGTGACTGGAAGAGCAAATGACTTTTTAGTAATGGTTTTGCACTCTTTTTAACTTTCTGACAGGCTTAAAGCTCTTAGCCTCAGCCAGTCGGGATAGATTGATTCATGTCTTGGATGCTGGAAAGGACTACAGCCTGCAACAGACCCTGGATGAACATTCTTCTTCCATCACTGCTGTGAAGTTTGCAGGTAGAGAATCATGGCCTCCCTCCAAAGCTGGGTTTGAGCACTGATGTTGTCCTATTGTAGCTGTAAAGTAATTTTAACTGCTCAAATGCTAGGTTAGGCCAGGCTGAAGCTGCAGCTGCTTTTTTTGTCATCTTGTGTAGCTGCAGCCCTAGGAGAAGATTATATTTGATGATACTTACCTACTTGGCTCTTTTGGGTGGTTTTTTTTTACGTTCCTCTCCTTCCTTCTCACTCAAAAAAACCTCTCCTGATTGAAGTCCTCAGCATTTCTTTGGAAAGCTGTTGTCTGTAATGATTTGCTCCCTTTAACTGATGTCAGATGGCAACACACTGTTCTTAGTGAGGAGAACTGTGAAACAGTCATCCTTCAAAACATCCTCAAACCCACAGAAAAACCCATTTTGGGATTAACTAGTCACAAGTAAATTTGTCATTGCAAACCAGAGTAAGACTGCATTCATGGTAATGGAGCACATTGCATTCCCAGCACTCAGTTACTACTGGGGGTCAGTCATCAGTGTGGTGTATCGTGGTATTGTGGGGGAACAGCAAGGATTGGCTGCTCTGCCACGGGAAGCCATTAGCCAAGGGGGACAGGAAGGCAGGCAAAGGTAGTGGTCTCACTGGCAGTGGGAAAGTTGCATAGTACCTGACCGAGGTGGAGTACGTCAAGTCCAGTGACAGTAACTGGATCCATCCAGTTGTCCAGATCACCAGATAAATCCATAGTGATAACACAGGCCACCAATTCAAGGTCAGGATCAGCCTGGACACAGAGAGCAGAGTCAGCCATGGTTCAGTGCCTGCCAGGCAAGCCCATAGCAGCAAGGCAGGTTCCAGTTCAAATCAGGAAGCTGGGTCCATGGGTCAGGATTTGGACCAGTAGCGTATGTGACTAGGCACAGTTGGGGTTCAGTGATGAGAACCTCAGCTTGAAAGTAGCTTGCAAGTGAAGGGACCTTGCTGAAGCTTCATAGTAGAGACTCCCTGAAGCCTGTGAGGCTTTTTCAAGTTTCTCCTCACAGATCTCCAAGGCTAGCAAAAATTTCTCTGACCAGTCTGTCTTAGCAGTGAGCTGGCCTTGAATGCGGCCAGCTGAGCTCCTAGGAGGTGAGAGAACTGCACTCAAGGCCTGGTGGCAAAAGCATTTGTGCCAGTCTGGGAGCTAAGTGCAGTCGTGCAGTTCAAGTGGACTTGTGCAGCATTGGATCAATTTTCATTACATGGAGTTTTATCAGTTGTTGCTCTGCTGAAGGAGCAGAATTGTTACAAAAGAGTGCTAAGGGAAGCCTGACGCTGCAGTGAGCAAGAGCAGTGACGGACTTTGAGGACTGAAAAGTGCCCGTTGCCTGTTTTCAGCTCATAGTGAGTGTAAACTTATCATACTGCTACAGAGTGGTGTGGCACACAGACAATAAGCACATGAGCATACTGTTGCATCCTAATCTGTTGTGTACAGCCTCTGTATTAAAGCGTCACGCACTCTGAGCACTAACAAATGCTGTCCCTGAGAAGAGGCTTCTGTTTTGCTGCAGCATCCTGCTGCTTAGGTGGGAGTCAGTCTTAGCTAATCACAATGGAATAAATAAGCAGTGGTATAGATTGAAACTTTTCTTCCACCTTATATCTGTGTTTATGTTTTGATCAGCTCTTGCCTTTCTCTTCCAGCCAATGATGGCAAAGTGCGAATGATAAGCTGTGGGGCAGATAAGAGCATCTATTTCCGCACTGCGCAGAAGGTAACCTTATTACAGCTTTTTGTGCACTTTTAAAATAATCTCTCCACAGAGGAACGACTTTAAAGTGTGATATCAAAGTTTCTGTATGACCCTGTTGCTATTTCAGCCTCAATGGTCTCCCATTGACTCAGTGCAAGAGATTACATTCAGAGAACTAGTTCTGTGAAGCATACAGCTGCTCCCAGCCTGACCTCTCTCAGCAAGATGCAAAGTAGAGAACCATTAGGATATCTGCTTTTCTTTTGCTGCCAGAGCTATTGTGAGGAGTGGTGAAAGGGTATGGGTTGGAGGGAGGAGTTCGTTGTGCCTCCAGTACCAGCTGCTCCCAGTTGACCTGGTTAGTGGGAAGAGTTTGTGCTGACGGTGTGACAAGACTCACCTGTATTTAGAAGCTTTTAATAGTGGATAAAGTACTTGATTTTGACACGTTCTTTACCTGCATGCTTAGACAGGAGAAGGGGTTCAGTTTACCCGAACACATCACATTGTTAGGAAGACTACTCTGTATGACATGGATGTGGACCCCAGCTGGAAATACGCAGCTATTGGATGCCAGGATCGTAACATCAGGTTAGTTTACTTCTTGTCTTGAAAATATTTTTGCAGTCATAAATGAGTTAGCCAAGACAGCCTTATCTCCATCATTGTTCCTTTCGGTTCTTTGACACAGCATTTTCAGACAGACTTAAGGCCTCACCTCTCACGCTGAGGTTGAACTCTGCCTTTCTTTCCCCTTGCTGGTAAAAAGCTGTGGGTATATGCAAATGCCTATGGGACTCTGGGCTTCTTGCTGTGTTGTTCTGCAGTACAAAGCCTTTCTACTGGGAGACTAAGTGTGCCTTCCCTGGCACATCATTGAGCTCTGGGGCAAGAACTTCTGTGCTGTGGTAATATTTGTTTTGAAAGGTATGATAATCTGCTTGATATCATATTATTCAGTCCTGGGCCTCCACGTTACTTTCGAGGTTGTTTCTTGAACCATTTAAATGATAGGTGGTTGTAGTTCATAGAGGTCTTTTCTGCACTTCCTGTGGCTTGGCTCCGTTCCCTGCATCTCATGTGGATTGAGGATCAGAAAGAGAAAAGGAACCTGGTGACAAGAGCCACGGAGCAGTACCTGGGCGAAATGAGTGACGTTGTCTTATGTTGTCCCGCCCAGGGTTTTCAACATAAGCAGTGGGAAGCAGAAGAAGCTTTACAAGGGATCCCAAGGTGAAGATGGCACCCTCATCAAAGTAAGTTGCTTCCTTTCTTTCTTCTCCTTTTTTTTTTTCCAGCTCTTCTGAATGCAGCCCAGCACTAAAAAAAGGAAATAGAAATCTGAACACAGTAATTTTTGGAGGGTTTTGTTGGGTTGCCTTTTTTTTTTTTTCCTTTTTTTTTCCTTTGCTTCCTCTTACCTCCATCCTTAGGGGCTGGCAATGTATTGGATTCCACCAGGCTAAAACAGGAAAAAAGCCAATGAATGCTGAAGTTTATGTATAACTTCTCTCTCTGTCCTGTTTCTGAATTGAGACACAGACCCATGCTGTAAAAGTGAGTAGAACTGCACCAGTTCAGTCAGGAGATGATTTAGTCAATTTTACTTTAATCCTTATCTTTCTGCTCCAGAGATCTCCTTCTGACTTTCTTGACTACTTTGTCAGAATTTTTAAGGTGGAGGTGCCTGTTGATCAACGTTTGAGAAATTTGTGATTTCCAGAGGGCAAATACAAATTAAACTCTTTGAGCTGATGAAATTAAGTAGCATCTGCCCTGAAAAGCCCATATTCTTTGGATCTTGGAGTGCTGGACAAGCCTGGTACTAAGAGAGAGTCTGTTCGTGTTTCCTACCTGCTGAGTTCATCCAGGCCTTGGGGTAGGGTAGCATGTCTACTTCTGCCACTGTCCTGGACTTCCTCTGATAAACCAAGTACATTCAAGATGCAGCACTGAGTGATGCCAGCACAGTGGAATGTGGAAGAATTGTATTCTTGTCTTTGAAGGGGAAAGACCCATTGACACAAATAAAATATCTCTGAAGTTAAGTTACCAAACAAGTTTCTTCACTTTGTTTGTTTTCACTGATAATTTTTCTACTTTCTAAACCAGATATTTCTGTTTCTCTGCACAGACCAGCAGTAGTAGTATTAAGGGCTGGAAGGGTTGTCTTATGAAGAACGGCTAAGGACTTTGGGCTTGTCTAGTTTGGAGAAAAGGAGACTTGAGGGGCGACCTCATAGCTCTTGACAGCTTCCTGCGGAGGGGAATCTCCCTGGTGTCCAGTGACAGGATACATGAGAATGGTTCAACACTGTGCCAGGAGAGGTTTACATGGGACATGAGGAAGCGTTTACTGAGAGGGTAGTTGAACACAAGCAGGCTTTCTAGAGAGGTGGCTGATGTCCCAAGCCTGTCAGTGTTTAAGAGGCGTTTGGGCAATGCCCTTAATAACCTGCTTTAGCTTGGTCAGGCAGTTGAACTAGATGATCATTGTAGGTCCCTTCCAGCTGAAATAGTCTAGTCTGTTTTTCTTGGGTGTAAATAACTGGGTAAAAAGGGAGAGGAAAGCAAACAGCTTTGTTTAGTGTCACCTCTTCTGTTTTACAGAGAAAGATAAGTTCTCTTTCTCTTTGCCTATTATAATTCCTACAAAGTTTTTTATAAGCCAGAGTAATGAAAATGAAAAATTGATGCTACACCACATTGCTGGTAGGCTCAGGTGCTTGATTGTATCTTTCTCAGACCACAAACCATGAAATGTTGCTGGGAGCTGGATTTTTTTGTCTTTAATATCCTTTATGTTTGGGGTGTTTTTTATGTGTAGCTCAAGCAGGGAATCTCAGTTATTTTTAATGTTGCTTTGTTCGTTTTTAGGACAATTATGTAACTAAGGGATTATGGTTGTCTCTGGGATTTAAACTTTCTTGGCAAGTTGTTCTGAGATCATAATATACATTGCAGTTTAACGAGTAGAACCCAAACGTTGACGTTGGAAGCACAAGATGCAGCTACAAAATAGACATAACCAAAAAAAGTTCTCATTAATTAAATACCACATCTCCCTCAAAAAACCAGACGTTTTCCCTCTCAGTTCCTTAAAATTCTGCGAAGGACAAAGCAGGACATTTGGTGACAGCAGCTGTATTTGCTCTGTAGTGCTGCTTTAGACCTAGTGAGGCATTTGGAGGGGGTCCTATATTTGGTCCAAGATAAAGCGACAAATGGTTGTGCATATATATATAAAAAACAACCAAACAGAGCAACCCACCTCAAAAATGGGAGATGAAAATGCTGGAGATTTGACAGCATCATTATCAAAGACAATTTCTTGGCAATGTTGAGTTCTTTTTTGGCTTCTCTCGCCAATATTGGAATCTTTTAATATTTCACTTAACTCTGTCAGCTCTGATTTTCCTTTTTTAGGGGGTATGTTTTGGCATGTGTAAGGTTTTTTTATTGTTTGTCTATTTTGTTTTGATCTTAAGACAGAGGAAGGTAACACCTCCGTGGTTAAAAGGAGGTAGGAGAGAGAGATACAAGTTTGTCCATTGGTGGTGGTGCTTTCAAAGTCATGAAGGCATTTAATGTCAGTGCCTTTAGTCTCTGATTATGTTGGAGATAGTTTTAGCAATTTAGTCAGGGTGGAGATTTGTCCTGGGATGCTGATAGCCTGGTACTCAACTGGGGTCGTGTGGGAGCTACTTGTGCTTTACTCTGTTGACTGCTGTGACTGTCTTGGATATTCTGGACCATTTTCATGCAGTTTGAAGGCACTTTCTCACCAGATCTTTGCACTTCTCTGATCTTGTAAACCAGGTGCAAACAGATCCCTCTGGTCTTTATATTGCAACCAGTTGTTCTGACAAGAACCTCTCCATCTTCGATTTCTACTCTGGCGAGTGTGTTGCAACCATGTATGGACATTCAGGTATGGCATGTGAACCTCTGGAAATGCGTTTTTTCTGCTGATGACTATATCACAGAGTCACAGAACGTTAGGGATTGGAAGGGACCCCTATATAGTAGGGTCTGATAGTAGTCAAAGGTATTTGGAGTTTCCTCCCCACCAAAGTTTACCCAGTGGCTATTTTGGAGTAGGTTATAGTTAGATCAAGTTGTAATAGATTATTTCATTGTGATTTCAACTTTTTGCATTGCAAAACGCAAGCACGCACATGCCTATCAGGCCATGTATTTATTTACACAATTTTTCTAATAGCTTATAAGGTAGTCTGTGTTGTTTCAGCATATATTAAGTTTCATTATGATATACCCTCAGCTCCCACCATGCGGGTGCTATTCTATTGTAGGCAAAAAGAGACTTCAGAGTTTGTGCTTATTTAGCCAGGGAATACCCTTTTGATGTCAAGCCTTGATTCTTTGTTAAAATGTTATGGTAATTGGGCCATATTGACCTGTGAATTGTGTTGGCTTTAGTCAGAATTTGAGTTGCTGAGCACAGATAGATTGTTGGGCTAATGATTTCTTCTACCCATTGGAATAATTCAGGTAAGGTTTTTTTTTCTCCTTGTGCTTTATTTCACACAGAGATCGTAACTGGGATGAAATTCAGCAATGACTGCAAACATCTGATCTCTGTTTCTGGTGACAGGTAAGGGGGGTTTGCTCGTTTGTGATATCAGCTCATGCCATCTCACACTGGATTTAACATGTGCCCTGCAGGAAGGTAGAATTTATTTTTTTTAATGAGGGATGTTTTATGAATTCCAGATAAACCTCAGATCTTCCTGAATCCTAAGTGTGTGCTGCTGGTAAAGCTCACAGAGTTTATACTATTCTTCCATTGAATGAAATGCCCTTGTGAAGTAATTCCTTTGTGGTTTTCAGAGTGTAGGTACTTTTCCTTGCTGGAAAGGAGACAAGGATGTGGCCTGTTACATTACAGACCTGAAGACTGGTAAGGAAAGGCAGCTTGTGATCTTCTAACCAGTGGTGCCAAAACTTTGTCTTACAGTACTCCTGTTGGCGAGATTTTACCAGGTGAATGAGCCCATCTAGCAGCAAAATGGACAGACTTGTCCCCACTCTTTGCTCCTGTCCATATAGTCCTCTTCCCTGCTCCCCTCCATCAGCTGTGGTGTGGCTGACCCCTCATTAAACTGACTCAGGTCACTACATCAGCAGCCAGCTCCAGCTGAGTTTTCTGCTGATTTGGTGAACTAAATCATCTCACCAAAAGCTTAAGTAATCACCAGACTGAACCCCAGGGGAAAAGGAGACTCTGTGCCTATTATGATGATTGTAGAGGTGACTGTACCAACTATTTTTGGAATCGGCGAATGCTTAAATCAGCTGACCTGAATAAAATCTTTCCTTTGAGAAAGATGGTTCCTGGAGTGCTATTTCAAGGCCAGAGCAACCCAGATTCTCTTTTCTATTAATAAAACACAGTAGAACCGGAAAAAGAGTTTAAAGGGGTGAGTTGTTACAGAACATGCAGCTTATCACCTTAAATTCCATCAGTTGGTTATTTCTGTCTTTCAATATAAAGTAAATAATTTAGTTTTCCTCTTTCTTTACATTTCATTTGTGTAAATAGATTAGGAGAAAAGTTGCAGAAGAGAGCACCATGTTGTTGAGGATTTCTGATAAATTCCAGAAACATGAAAGGTTTGAGGTCCCCAGTGATTCTTGTGATTGAGTGCAGTGTTCCCTGGTTCACCATTTCCCTGAGCGAAAGGGTCATTGTCTTCGCTAAGGGTATGGAGGAGGTGGATGAGGAGCGAAGGGAGGATTCATGAAGAACTTTGCTGTAAGGAGATGAGAAAGCCTGGTTTTCAAAGGAGAACAGGGAAAACAGTGTGTTCACACACAACAGTATGTGCAAAGAATAAAACAGAATAGAAAGAGAAACAGAAATGAGGAAAGGCACAAAGACTGGGAGACTCGTGAGAAAAGTACTGCAAGGGAAAAAACCAGCAAAAGGGGTAGGTGGAAGCATGCTTTAGAGCTTTGTGTTGGATGCTAATGTATTTACAAGTTCATACTGTTTGCTGCTTATCTCTAGGTTTGGTAGCTGTGGGGGTGGGATAAATGAACAAACCAGATTTGCTTTCTGAATTTTGTTTCCTGCTTTTCAGTATTTTCTCAGCAGCAGATTGTGGTTGCTGTTATGTTAGAGAGAGCTGCTGCGTGAGGGGTAGCAGCTGGCTGCCCCGGGTTGCCATAGTTCCCAGGTGCATCACCTCACCACTTTCTCGTGGCTGAAAAGCTGGGGTGGGAGGATGACAGTGTGTTCACTGCTGATGGGAAGCGTCTGTGTGTGACTTCAGTAGCTGGGAGTGACACTCCTGAGCTTTGTCACCAAGGGACTGGCACTGGGAGGAAGAAGGGAATTTTTAGTTTTTCATGAAAATCTCCACAGACTGCAAAGTGGGGGTTTTGGGTTTCTTTTTGTTTTTCTTTCTGTTGTGTGGTATGGAAATAAAAACCTTTTAAAATATCTTCTCAGGAGAGGAAAAAAATGGAGAAGATGCAGGCTTCAGGATCCTGGCGCTTTCGGCATTTGCCTCAGGGATTGTTTCAGTATTTGTTCAGGGAGGGCAAAGTTCATTGTCGTCGTTCAGAATGGCAGAGCAAATGAATTTTTGCAGGCTAGCAAGGGAGAGGGGAAAGCCCCTCATTGAAAACTCCTTCGTGAACTGGAGTACCCATGAGCATTGGGCACTGATGGGTCTGGAAGAACTGGATTAAATCCTCTTTGGATTTTATAAGTGATAGCAAAAGCACCACCTCTGTTTCTACATCAGTGTAAGTATACCCACCCAGACAGGAAAGATGGGCGAGATGAAAATAATCAGTTAGCACTGAGGTTAAATTTCCAAGAAAATGTTGGTCATTTTACTTTCTAGAAGATGAAGATGAGAGACAGTGTTCTTGAATGTGATGAGGAATTTTTTTTTTTAGCCAGATTTTGTGAAGAAAATGAGACCAGTGAGATCACACGGTTTGTTTCCCACCCTCAAAGGTTTTTGAATCCATGAACCAAATTCAATCAAATTCCTGAGAAGTTTCCTGCAGGAAGTCCGAGTAAACTATTAGGAGCACCCTGACTGCAGAAACTACTGCCACATAAGCTTAACCATTGTTGCACTACAGGGACTCCATGGGATGGGGGACATTAGGAAGCCCTTGTCCGTGGGAGCAGTTGCAGTCAGAGGCTGCAGCCTTAGCCACTGTTAGAGGATGCAGAGGACAGCTGTAGGCTCTGCTTATCCTGCTGACCATGGAGGGACTTGTTATGGCATTTCCTTCAGCAGCTGGTCAGATAGTCAAATAAAGGTATAGGGTCAGAGACGAGTCTGTGCAAATAACTCTGCAGTTGCTGTCGCCTCCAGGGAGTCTTTGCCAGACAGGTTTTACCCTTTTGTCATGGGGCTGTGATGGGATTGAGTTTCTGTCAAGCTGTTTCTGCGTGTGTCCCTCCCTGCTACAGACAGAAGGGCTCTTGTTTGCTTCTGCAGTGGGAATTGATAATGTCAATAAACTGAACTGAGACTTGAACCCAGCCTCACCTTTCCCTCCTACAGCTGTATCTTCATTTGGCGTCTGAGCTCAGAGATGACCATCAACATGCGGCAGCGACTGTCTGACATGAAGCAGAGAGGGAAGCAGGCAGAAAAGTCTCCTCCACACAAGACAGCTGGACTCATGAGGTGAGCAGAGTAGACTGAGACGAGGTGAGTGGCTGTGTAGGGTTTAATGTGAAAAGTGTGGCGCTGGGATTCAGCTGTAAGGTTTCTGCTGTCTTCTCAAAATTCTCTTATTCTTCTGTTGGATTTGCCATGATTTTTGTGCCCCTCTTCTTTGGATATAGAAGTCTTGCTGTGATTTTCCAGACAGACTTGCTTAGTGTTGCTTCATTGATTGCAATGTGTGTGCAATGCCTGTTGTGTCTTAATTTAGCTTAATGATGTGGTCAGAAAGTTTAATAAGCAGTTTATCTGGCAATGCTGGGGCTGGTACACAGCATCTCACCAGGGAAGCCTTGCTTCTTCATGAATGTAGTTCTCTGGATCCAGGCTGTGTGCAGTTTAAAGGCTGTTTTCTGCAGTGGCAGTACTGAATTAAACGTGTGAGCTGTACGAGTTTGCCATGTCGATTATAACTCTAAAAGTGTCCTTACAGTTGTGCTGTTTCTTTGTTGATTATTTTCTGAAGGCTTTGAAAAAGGTCACCTATAAATAATTATAATATAAATAATAAATATAAAAATAATTTCCATTGGAAAAGTTCTTGGCAGTGAAATGGTATTGATATTTTTTGCTCAGTAAACAATGTCTCTAAAAACAAACCACCGCAGCCTACAAACGGAGTGCATCTAAATTTATCTGGTGACCTTTCTTCAAAAAGTGGTGCTTAAACACAGACCCTGTTTTTAAACATAACAAGAGTGACAGGCGATTATGGATTATTAGTGTAATGTTATTTTGTTTGTCTGTAGTTAGTAAGTAGCTGAGACTAATTTGACTGTAAGCAATCCAGGAGAGACTCCTGACCAAGCTGATGTGGGAGCAAAGTGGGGAAAAATGGCTAAACACAGATTTTTGATGGTATGTTCCACAGTTTTCCTTCTACAAATTGAGTTCTGGATATAAAAGCGCCCAAGCATTGGAGGACTTACCACACTGGTTGTTGTTTTGAGTATCACAAGGACCTTCCCACTCCCTTTGGGAGCAAGTAATGTTGAAACGAGTCTGTCTGCATAGTTTCATCTGGGAAAGTCTTGATCTGCTCATTCTTGAAACGAGTCTCGTCTAATAAGTTCTTTCAGTAATGTTGCTGGGAGAGCTCAGGAAGCCTTTTTCTAGCCAAAATTCTGGACCTGTCAAGCAATGTGCTTTTTATAGCAGACTCTCCATTATTCCAGCAGCTGCAGCCTTACCCTACGGAGGCTCAGCCTGTGACAGATAATCCCAGTCCTCTTCCGCATTAGGTGATGCTTGTTTCCGTCACAGACGCTCGCTGAAGGGCGGTGTTAGTGCCGTGCTATGCCAAGCCCACAACTTTATTAAACTTGTTTGGTAACCTGTTTGCAAGCCTGGAATCTACTTGTTTGGTCAGCTTTGAAGGCTTGTTTTCAGTTTTGATCGACCGCTGTGGTCACTGGAGATCAGCAAAGACATAACTCCAGAGCATTTTGGATTGGGACTGGATATGGACGAAAAGCCTATTGGAGCAGCGTTACTGAGGTGGGAGACAGAAAACTAATGATCTCGAGTAAGATTGGTTTTCTAGATGCCCTGTGTTTGTTTTGGTTGTGTTTCTGAAGCCTGTGTAGGTTTCAATGGAGAGCTGGGTTGCACGTTGTGGTGTAGAACTGTTTCCTCAGAAGGACTCACAGTGGTATAAGAAAGCTCCCTGCCTGGTGATGTGTCATTTGTTCTACTGGATTTTCTCTAGAACGGTAGAATTTGGTGGGGGAAGTAATGCACTTTGCTAGTCCCATGGGATGGATGAATGACAGGATGAATAATCAAAATAATACTGGGGAAAGAAAACTGAGCTGAGGCGGCAGTGGGGAGCTGAAGATTTCCAATTCAGGACAGTGCTGTCTCTATTCAGCTGCGACTGGCAGGGCAGGGATTAGCCCAGGTGAATAACATCTGGAGTGTAAACACAGACGATGCCTTTCTGGGTCAAACCAGTGCTCCATGAAGCTCAGTATTCTGCCTGTGATGGTGGCAATGGAGGATGCTGTTTAGTGACACAGTGTGAGCCTTGCTATAGGAACCTTTTACGTGGTTTAGTATTGGGTCATGGACCCACTGCCCACTGAATTTGTATAAATCCTTCTCGAACTTTGTAGTATTGTCTGCCTCTGCAGCCTGCTTTGGTGACAAGTTCCTGGAGTTCACTGCTCTTGGTGGATAGAAGAGCTTTTTTTAGTCTCTGTTAAACCGCACTCCTCCTAGTTTTGTTGAAAGCTACCTGCTTCTCAATATTGTGAGCTTTGGTGAACTGTCATTCTGCATCAAACTATCTCTGGTCTCTATGTAAACCTTTATCATAACCTCTCTCCATCCAACCTTCTCTCCAAACTGAAGAGTCCCGGCCTTTTCAGTCTCTCAAAAAATTTCTAGAGAGATTAAATTTTCTCTTCTGATGGATTTCTTTGGCTCACCTTACGGGACGTGAGATTATTTTGGAACTAATCTGACCTGTGTGACCCACAGGTCTCCATAGCACCCCTGGGAGTCTTTCAGTTCTGCCTCTGGTTGTGATAATTGCAGATGTGTGCTTTTGTCTCACCTACTGAACATGAGAAGCTTTGATTGTTTGGGATAATAGAACTTGTACTTGGCTGATATCGCTGGTACACTTTGGTTTGAAGACATTTATCTTTTCAGAGAAGGAGCCATGTAAAGGCCTTTTAGTAGGGTTTTGATTTTGATCCAAGTGCACATTTATTGTTTAGAAAAGCTTGTCTCAGATGTTTGGAAGGGAAGATTTAAATTAATTTTACTGTGGAATATTTGCAGGGCTTATAGTTATGTTTTAGCTCAGCTTTTATAGTTTTTTTTATATTTTAATTTTAAAAGTAACTTTTTCTGTGACTTTCAGTGAAGCTCTACTATAAATAGCAGGAGCTAGAAATGTTATCCAAATTAAATTGTCTGAAAATTATATATGTATGCTGAAGAAGTACTGTGTGCCATCAGCTATATTTGGAAAGAAGAGCTCCTTATCAAATTCTCAGTGAGGCTTTGGTCCAGTCCAGGAAAGCTGTGCAGTTTCCAGGGCTTGGAACAAGGCAGGCATTTGATGCCAGGTCAGAAGTGATGCCTGAGTCTGTGCTGAACTACTGCAGTTATAACCAGGGAAACTCTGAAGACAGCAGCACCGGGATCTTTCTGTGGGGAAAAGCAGGGTGACTTTCTTTTTAAAACCCTTAGGCATCTGGGCAGGAGGCGAGGGCAATCTGCTAGTGATCCCTACCACATAGGATGTTGGAATTTCATAAACCCGCTCCTAAAGCTGAGGGTTTAAGTAGCTCAAGATCAGAGTGGGAATGCTGACAACATACCTCTTTAAATGGATAGTTGCCATTCTTGTCTGTTTTGTTTTGTTTCAAGAAAAGAAAGCAGGGTTGAATTCAGGACATGCCAGAGTACAGAGTACCTAATATCAGATGTCTGAATACTAGAACTCCATAAAGACGTGTGGCCCTTTGAGTCCGTGTATGTGTCCTGAAGCCTCTTCCCTGCCACTGACCTCCTACTGGCAGACCCTTCAGAAAGTAGGAGCTGAAGTACAACTGGCTCTGCCCATCTGTACAGAACAAGATGTGGGCATGGTACTAGAATGAGATCCTTCCTCAGCAAAGGAAGATGACATAAGCAAGGATGATTAAAAGTCTTGCTCTGAGTCACATGTGTCATGAGAATTGGACATGTCTGTACGTGCTATTCTGGAACAGCTACTCTGAAGCATTCATTCTGGTATAATGATGCTTTGTTGGGGTTTAGCAGGAATTCAGCAAACCCCAGAAGTCTCACTCTTTTGCTTTCAAAATGCTCTCATGAGGTGCTTATTTGGAAGCAGCTCTCATGCTGGAAGCCTCACCCTACGTTACTCTGTCTTCATCTAAGCATGAACAAGAAGTAAGACAGAGTGTTGAGGAGATGTGTGCAACAGAGGGACTTAGAAGAGTATCCAAAGTACATAGAGAAGAGAAAGTAGTGAAGTCCCAATTGAGGGATTGACTTGGGCAAGCACAACAGTTCAAACAATCTGGACCTAGGTTTCATTTTCAGGAGTATCTCAGTTTTGAGTCAGTGACCCTAAGATCCTTTTGAAAACCCCATTCAGTTCTCGCCCTTCAAGTCACAGGACTGAGTTTGAAAAGCATATTTGTGTTGTAAAAAGGAGGATGTGAAAGCTGGGCATGAATTTTTGCTGGGATAATGCAATATAATCTTACATTTGTATCAAACGCATGTGAATTCATAATTTGGCGCTTCCCGTGAGATATGAAAAAATGCACATCCAACTTCCAAAGTACATTTTGCATTCTCTTACTCAGCTCCTTTGAGGGGTAACATAAAACAGTGATAGCAATCCTCCCTTCTCCATTTACACCATTGACAGTACATGTAGGAGTTTAGCAAACACATAACCTTGCCTTGCCACATCACCTCATCACAGTGAGGCATTCAATCAGTTAGATGTTAAAATGTCAACAATCCAACCCTTCTTCCTCAATAAACTCCTCAGACAACCATGATGAATACAAGCAAAAGGATGCTATCGAAGTTATGGATACAGAGTTAATATTGCCTACCATATATAAATGTAATATACCTCATTGGATGAAACAGAATGAGGCATAACCTCAAATGTACGGTGGTGCTTGAACTTTGTTGGGATTCCCCTGCTTAGACACAGGAACCTCGGAGTGACGAGATGGACACACAGACAGTAGGAAAGATGAAGAGACGGACAAACTCGGATATCAAAAATAGGTGAGGGCAGCCGACATGAACCTGTTTCACTGGAGGACCCTGCAGACCACAGTCTGTTGCACTCTTCTTTTTGCCAGAACATCTCAGAGCTCATCTGAAAGGGCTGGGTAGTTATTGCTCAGCCAGTCCTAATAAAATGGAAATTTATCTTATGCCACTGTATGGGAAGAGAAAAGATTAAAACAGCTTAACTACTTCTTACCTTGTTTCAATACTGCCTGCTATCTGTCAGCTGCAGAAGTTGGTCCCTCGCCAGGCTTCTCTGTATTTGCTGGATGAGCTATTTTTATTTTGTGAATAATGCTTGGCACTCAACACCCACCAGTGATATCCTATAAATACCACTAATGATGAATTTGGCACCCTAGCTCAAGGCTATGGAGTGGGCACTACACAAATGTATTTGTTAGGGATTCTTCATTTGGGCAAGTATTGTCCAAAGTGTGTCAGTTCATTTGGTTCTGGTGACTGAAGAGAGGAAGGGGAAGAGGAGAAAGGGAAGACAGAGTTTGGTGGTGTTGAGTGTCCTTGACTGGTACTGGGGAATTCTATACTGGGAGTGCTTCTGAGGTCTGTGTGGGAACACTTGTCTGATCTACTTTGAAGATCTGCCCAAAATACATTTTACATTATTCCTTGCGCCTGAAGGCTAAAAAAGGCAGCATGGTTCTCTTATGGTGTGTGGGCTGTGCCTTCAGGTTCTGTGTGGTGTAATCTTTGATATGATCCTGTCTCTTATGTGATAATTTGCCATATACTAAATTGCTGTCAAACTGGGAGTATCGCTGTGACACTTTTGATGTGTAAAACAGATCCAGAGAGGAAAAGCTTATGGATGGGAAAAATATTTGCCTTTCAAATATGCTCTACCATCTTGACCTTATCAATCAGCTGGGTCTGAAATGGAAGGTGAAATTTCATTCCGCTTTGCTTTCTTAGACTCGTTTGCTTCTGTTCTGATTTCTGTCATCCCTCCACACGTATGAGACGATTCTTGTGGTGGCAGGCCCTGCATGCCTTTGTGCAGGGTTTAACTTGCCCTGGTTCTCAGAGATGAATTTTGTTACGGTGAAGGCTGTTTATGAGAGCTGAGACAGCCTGCTGAGTGTGGATGGAGATAAGGTGGAAAACTGCCTGGTGTAAGGATTGAAATGGTGGGCAATTCTTGAGATAGACCGTAACACTCCTTCCAATTCCTGCCTCCCAGGCATGAGTCCATCTCTGCCCTGTCCTCTGTGCCTGCACTCTCATCAGACAGCGACAAGGATGGTGAAGACGAAGGGAACGATGAAGATGAGCTACGTGGGCTGCAGTCTTTCCAGATTCAGTCCAACTGCAGCGCTGAGAGAGACTCAGGTATAAATGGGAGAGGACTATGGGCAGAGGTGGAGAAAAATGGCATGAACGTCAAGTGGGGAGAAGATGAGAGTCACTGGCTAGGGATAACAAGATATGGACAGAAAGAGAAAGACCAGGACAGAAAGGGATTGGTTGACACCAATGGGTAATGTGGAGTTGCCCATTCCTGCATCTGAAAAGGGGTACATTTCAGAGTACTCTGATTAGAAATTCAGTTGTTAAATTGCCGAGTTTCTTGCTAGTTCCAACTGGGCAAACAGATTTTGAATTAGCGTCCTAAGCTTGGGTCTGTAAGCTATTGGAAGTCCACAGAAGCCAAAAGAGATCTCATGGCGGATTCTAGAGATGTCTGATAAAACTTACAGAAGAGATTACCATTACTAATTTGAAGTATTTTTGCCACAGTTGCTACAGTCTATTGGAGCATGGTTTTTTCCCAAGCTTTTGGTGGGCCACTGCACTGCAGCAAGTGTTTGCAATGGGTCTGCTGAGTCAGTGAAAATCCTATATAAAACAGTATGTCTCCATTAAAATTCTGATACAACCGTTTGGTAATCTATGGGAACACATGTGTTGGCAGTGGTCGTCTGGTTCAGAAGGTGTAGGAATGCTGCCTTTGAGGAAAAACGAGATGGGGTCTTTAAAAAGCTGGACTGCTGGCCAAGGATGTCAACTATGTATGTATCTTTTTCCCTTTCCAGATCCAGATCTTACCCTCTCAAGAAGCCTTTCCCACTGGGAAATGAGGAGGGTAAGTTGCTAAACCTTCAAACTGTATTTCTTGTCATTGGGAAACTGGAAAAGAAATTCCCATGGAGATTAAAAACCTCCTTCACACTGGTGGGAAAGGTGCAGCTGTGGTGGGAAACCACTGAGAAGCCTCTCTCTGAAGAACGACTTGGGGATGGCAAAATAGAGCCTAGTTTAAGAGAGAGTTTCACTTGGGATTTTTGCATCAGTATCTTTCCATCAGATGTTATGCTTTTGCCCCTTAATTTCTGGCCTGAATCTTATATGTGGTGCTGAAGCTGATCATACACCTGGATCTGAGTGAGGCATTTAAATGTTCAGTTATGCAAGAAGCAGCAAGAAAAGTATCACCTTTAGTTGATGCTTTATGTTAAGCTGTCTCACAGACAGCTTTGGGTCTTTTACAGAGGTCGATGTAATTGTGTTTTTCTGTGGGTCTTTTGTGTTCTTTCCTGTTTTTCCCTCAGCAGAGCTCAGTCCCTAAGACTGTCTTTCTTTCCATTTCCTTCAGGCCAAAGAGATAGCGGCAATCCAGCGCTCAGAGGCACCAATGAGCAAGATGCCTCGGCAACGTGGGCGCTGGTCCCAGCCAACCAGCAACATAGAGATGACTGTGAAATCCATGCTTGATTTGCGTCAGTTGGAGTCTTTCTCTGTTTCCCGTTCACCGAGTCGAGACTCGCTGTCTCAAAACAGCAACGGGGACGATAGAGAAGAGCAGGCAGATCTTCCTGTGCACATCAACAAAGTAAGGGCAGTACTGCTCTGAGGAGGTGAATCTACCCTGAGTGCCTCTGTTTATTATTACCTACATTTATTATTACCTGATGCCACTCTTTATGTCCTTAGAGGTAGCTCTAAATGCCTTCCGAGAAACTTGGTTTAGATAACTCTTCTGTAGTTATTTACTCTGGCAACATGTGACTCTGCCATCTATAGCAGAACCCATATGGGATCAAGGTTTCTTTCCAATGACAGGGAAGACCTCATGTTTTATTTTAACTCTGTGATTATTTATGGCACAAACAAGATGAGAAGCTGAGCTCAGAATTACAGATGTGTACCTGATTACCTGTTAGCTCACTCTGCTGGAGTGCAACTTCTTGACTCGAGTAGTCACTGAATATGGCTCATATGATGCCTTTGGTTGTGGGCTATGCTAAATTATTAAGTTCTCTTTAATCTTTGTGCCTATGGGTCACAGCAGGTAATGGGTGCTCATATCTCAGAAAGCTAATGCCTGTTTTCCAGTAGCAGTTTGCCTCGGTACCTAACTTCTGTAAGAGTTTTTCCTTCCTTTATAACTGCATGGCTGAGAAGAGGATGTGGCTTGTTGCGTGCATTAAAACAGTGTTTTTCAGCTGTGGGCCACAGACTTCTCTGAACTGTGTCTGATCAGTCTATAAAAGGTAATGGAAGAACCTGCTGCCACATGGCTTACTGATGTGTGGTCAAAGAGGCATAGGGAGTCCACTTCTTTATCAGAGAATTTTATGGGAATGCAAACAGGAAACTACAGCAGTAGTCTGTCAAGTTTAGTAAATGAAGAACAGGAAAGACTTAGGATTACTGTGTTTTCTGACCTCAGATTTCTGATCATATCCCATGCTGTAATGCATACTTTCTAGTCTGCACAGCACTTGCTGACTTAATCAAAACCACTGGTAATATCTGGTTTTCTGTCTTCTTAAACCAGGTTGGCAGCTCAGTACCTCCCCAAGATAACCGGTCTTGCGTGCGACCTCAAGTGATTCGGCTTGTGTCTTGTGAAGAGGGGATTTTCTCTCAGGAACTGGAACCTTCTGAGAGTGAGGAGTGTGTAATCTACCCTGAGCAAGATGAAATCCATCCCACAGGCCCTAGCAGGTTAAAAATAAGCTCTCTGCTGTGCATGGCTTAGATGTTTCTGTTTTAATTTGCTTACAGCTTGTGTGGTGACTTGGATAAGTTGTCTTACTGCCTGATTGATGCCAGGCATGTTTAGTTGAGAGTTTTATGCCAACCTGATGGTAAAGGCATCTGAAACAAAGAAGGCACCATTAAAATAATCTTTCCTCTGAGGAAACTGCACATTAGCAGCCTTCTCCAAGTGTTTTTGTTGAATAAGCAACTTGTGAGCAGTGGTTTTGCTTTCTCCCTTATCTGGGTTGAAATAAGTAAGGGAAAACTTGGAAGCTGAAAAACCACCCAACAGTGACCTATACGTGGCAGTGAAATGTCTGCTGAGGAGAAATGACAGGACGTTATTTTATGACAACTAATTGGGCAAGAATTTAACAAATATAGTATGTGATGACCCTTTTGTGGGAAATAGGACGGCTTGCATGAGAGAGATGCAATTGAAAAGGATGCTGGAAACAGTGGAGACCCTTTTTCTTCCTCTGCTGTTTCTTCTATTTTAGTTTTACGTCACTTAATTTTCTGTTTAATTCTGTGCTCCATTTTTTTTCTTCCCTGAATTGTATTTTTCCCTTCCCCTCTTAACCTGGTGCTAGTAGCTGCTTAATTTCCTCTGTCTCCTCCTGCTCTGTTACAAAGAGTGGGCTGATAGCTTTAGATGGGCCTTTATACAGAAGTGTATGCCAAGATTTTGCAGTTGAAACTGCTAGGTTTCTCTCAGTTTCTCTTTATTTACTTTTTAAATTTTATTATCATAACATTTGAGCAGATCCATGTGCTGCTCCATCACGTGAGAAAGGGAGGCCTCTGGTGATGTTGGATACAGGCTGGACATATCTCAAAGCATACAGAGTTTGCAAGCTGCCAGGAGTAATTGCCATTCAGTTTTGTTGAGCAACTTCTGCATCCTACCTTGCATTGGAGCACATCTGAAACCAAAACTCATTAAATCACAACAGAAATCAGGAACCCTGCCCTACAATATTCTATTTTTGTGTGACATTCTTCAGTAAATTAGTCTTGCTCAAACCCAGAATCTTCTCTTTTTCGCAACACAGAAGTTTCCCAAAGAAGCAGGTCATAAACATGGAAAAAGTAGTATATTAGGGCTCAAGTCTATGGCAAATGGGAGTTTCAGTCATGCAGGTATAGGTCTGGTGTTAGTCCCTCTTTCATTATATAGACCTCTACATTTGTTTATCACCTGTGCCAGAAATCAAGCCAGAGCAGTGCTGTGCTGGTGCCTGGTAATCACGGAAAACCGATAACGCCCAGAAAGTCAGACAGTCCCCTCGAGACTTCACTGTCCAAGCTTAATGAAATGCAAAAAATGTACTGTATAACGATGAGAGAAATCACCTTCTTTTTCTCTTTAAAGCCTTATTTTTGTAATCAGAGGTGTTAGTAACACAGGTAAGGCCTTATTAAAGTTAGAACGTGCTTCTTTACATGTAAAACAAGTTATCTCTTCTAGTGCCGTATCTTTCCTGTCTCTCTTGTAGTGAGTTCCAGGTAAAAGCACTGTCCCACGGGAAGCTAAGTAGAGGTTATCACAGTAATGGATGCCCAGACAAACACAGTCCTGACAGTGCCTGCTCTGTAGATTACAGCAGCAGTCGCCTGTCCAGCCCAGACCATCCGAATGAAGGTAAGATGCAAAGACATTGTGAATGTACTTATATGTGATGTGGAACGCTGCAGAAACTTGCTGGGGTGATTCTGTGCCATGTTTATCAGCTGCTATCCTGATCTCTGATACTTGATCCACTTCATGAGCCGAACTGAGGTCACGCTCCTGTTAGTCTTCCTAGAATTCAGGTGCATTTGAACAGGCACTTCAGGCAAAGCCGCTGTAGCAGCAGGAGTTGGTTAAAGTGCACTTCCCTTCAGTGCCATTGGCTTTCTCTTACCTTGCCAGGTAAGGTTTGGTATTGATTATCCCATAGGCTGTGCTGTTTGTGTGTTATGGTAGATTAGAGAATTACACTTACTTAATGCTGACTGACTTTTGCTTTAACATTCTAGGTTCAATTTAGCGTCTTTGCTGAATATTTTTTTTAACCTGGCTGATGTTACTGTGATTATGCTATTACAGCATCAAGGGTTTTTTTGCCTTTTCGCAGATTCTGAAAGCACTGAGCCCCTAAGTGTGGATGGCATCTCAGACCTGGAGGGAGAGGAAGGAGAGGAGGATGTGGGTACTAGCATGCCGGAGGGAGAAGTCCCCCGGACACCCGATCAGGAAAAGTTCCTGAAGCAACATTTTGGGACCCTGGGCAGTACTGATGGAAAAGGTACAGCTCTCTGCTCGTTGGGAGCACTTTGTGAGGTCACTCCAGATTTGCTCCCTGTGTAAATCAAACCAGGCTACAAGTTCTGCTAGGCTTTTGTTTGTGTGTGTGTAAGGGAGCAAAGATGGGGAACCAATGTAGAAAAGCCTAAAGAAGTGTGACATCTGTTAACTCCACCGGTGTGTGTGTAAGTTTGCCTGGACGAGATTGTGGTCTGTGTCACTTTGGGTTAAGTGTTGTCTCTGGAATCCTGATGAGCAGTTCTCCTTGTTCCCGGACTCGTTTTTCCTGTTGCCTAAACGGTTTGTTCCACCCCCATAGGTGACATGTAGTGGCCTCTAGTGGTATATTGAGGCGTAACAAATGTCACAAAAGAAAAGGCTGAAATGCTGGGTGGAGGGAGAGAATGAGAGGAGACATCAGAGTGGCAAAGGAGCGGAATAGTATTTCTCGACCAACTCCAAATCAAAGCCTGTCTTTTTAGAATCAATAATGGTTACAGGCAGCACTATCTATGTGAGTTGTCTGTTTTCTTCTTTTTTTTCCCCCTCCTTTGATTGGTTTGATTTTTTTTTCTTGGTGCCAGTGCCTCAGTCCTACAAGCAGTACAGGACACAAAGGGAAGCAAAAAAAAAGAAGAGGCATGCCGTTAGGGAGAGTAGCAGTTTAAGGCAAAGTAATCTAAGTAGAACAGAAAAGGCAAAGGCAATGAATTTACTTCATTCTCTGTGGTTTTAGCTCAGAAAAATCCCCTTGGATATGGGGGATCATTTGGTAGTCTCGGTGGTAAGAAAATGCATGTGTCAGAATGTTTGTTCTGTAACTAAACTGCTCCCTTTTTCTCTCCCCTTTAACCAAAATTTTTAGGTGGCTCATGTAGAAATCTGGAAAGAACTGAAAACCTCAGCATTTCCTCTCGCTTTCTTTCCCAGTCCCCGGCTCTCAGGTATGACTCTGGTTGTTTTGAGTGTTTCTGTCTGTTTCTGTTAGTGAGTAGGGCTTGTGCTAGGCCTTGAGTCAAAATAGTTGAGCAAACTTCTGGCCTTGGTGTGCCTCGGCACAGCAAAGTGTTAGCACAGCACTTGGCAGGCTGGTTGCAGATTCTTGTGATTTGGACAGGCCATCCTGTGTCACTTCAGCTGTTCTATTTCTTCCTAAAGCAGCACTGTTGTTTTGTTCTTTTTCCTCTTTAAACAATGTGCTTAATTGTTTCGTGATTAATGCCTTGATTGATTAAGTTGGAGGAATTGCTGGTCACCTGATGTACTCTTCGCTGTTTATGCTCTGTTTATTCTTTTGCATTTCATTCAGCTTGGACAATGAAAGTAGGCTTGTCAAGTTTTTCTTTGTTTTACAGCCCTTTCTTACTCAGCTTTGTTTCTCAGTGCCGTGCCTTCACAGGGTGCTCAGGTGTCTCATAGGAAGCCCCGTGGAGATCCTATTCTTCCAAAAAAACCCTCAACCCTAATGCACCCCACAAGGCGTCTCCAAGCTGTTTCCCTTGTTTTTAAAAAAAAAATAATTCCAACAAAACAAACAAACAAAAGAACTACTGAAAAATGGGGTTAAATACTTTTGTTTGGGTTCATACATGTTTTAAACAAATACTCTTGTATTCCTCTGAAATGACAACCTGAAATCTCAGCTCAGATTAGTTTCATTGTATAGGACTGAGCAGATTTGGGTACATCTTCTGTGATTCACCAGCTGTGTCTAGATTCAGCTGCTGTTGCTGCTGTCAGGAGTGCCTCAGTCTGTCTCACTTTGGGGCCGTATTTTTGGGAAGAAAGCCAGTGGTTAGCTATTGTGTAGGCTTAGGGAGAGCTCCAATGGCGAGTGAAGGAAGTCAGTGGTGCTCTAGCGATGTAAGGAGAGAGGTAGTTTTAGGTTATGAAAACCTCTGGTCTTTTTCTCTGTTCAGCTGTTCAAACATGCCAGATTGAAAATTGCCTCCTTTCTGAAGTAAGCCGACTGTGCTTGTCTTGAGTGGAGAGGAAGAGGAAATTATGCTTTCCTCTTGAAGATGCTGACCAGCTTTCTTAGTAATTATGCTTTCATAATGTTAGGAAAGTCTAATAATTTTCCCTTAGGGTATCTCAGAATTGAAAAGATTTCATTGTTAGTAAGGTGAGCTGAGGGAAAAGACCTGATTTGACTTTGCCCTGTCTTTCCTCTGCCTGAAATTTTTCCTTCTCTTTTGCCTTCCCCTTTTACAGTGTCCTCCCTGGAAACAGTGACCTAATGCTATTTGTGATTCTGCAGCCTAAGGTCAAATGCTTTAAGACCAGTGCTTCCAGGGATGAGTAGAAATAAGTTGTAACAGCTTAGGGCATTTTTCACTTAAAAAAATCCAGATAGGGAAGGGCTCTTTATCCCAGAGAAACTGGCTTAATGCATGTGCCTGTTTGTCCAGGGCAACATACTTAACTTGTTTTAACTGTGATTTCTTTATCATGTTCTGTAGACGATTGTCACTCTCTTCATCAAATCTGATACTGGATTCAAAACCCATCGAGCCGCCAACCCAGACCAGCCGGTTTATACCAGACCTGTTGAAAAATGGCAGCAGCCATCCTGGTGATGCATTGGAGAACACCCAGCTCCTGGAGAGTGTAAATTCAAATCGAGCTGTTTATGCCCAGAAAAAGCGCAGATCAGCTTTGGAGGCCAGCAGAGCTGGTATGGCTCCTGGACGGGTTATTGCGTCCTTTCCGGAAGGCCCTGTGAATGCAGTGATGAGGAAGGCACAGTCAGTTCATGACCTCGTTCATGAGGGTAAGGACACAGGTTGGAATGATGGTATAAACCTGAGAATGAAACAGGGAGATTGGAACTTGAGTAGAGATTTAAATTAAGCTTATGTCTTTCTGCATTCTGAGCTACAGGCTTTGCATGTCTTCTAACTCAGCCTGTGAAGGGAAAATATTTTAAATTTGTAGTGCAGATGCTGGTCTCCTAGTTAGCAGTCTCTGGTATTTGTTTGGCAGCTGTGGGAGGAGCAATGCAAAGGGTGAAATGAACTATTTGCAAAGAAATTCTTTCCTGCTGTGGGTGGTTGCTCCAGGCCAAGACTGAAGCTCCCCAGGGTAGGGAGGAGAGAAAGAAAGAAGACAGTAAGAGGGAGCTCACTGTATCCATGCCCTCTGTGTGAAAGAACTCCATTTTTGAAACAGTCAACTCATGAACAGTCAATAAGCACTCAGATTGTTTTGATTTTTTTAGTAAAATAAAACAGAAAAACAACCTTACCACTGCAACATCATATCTAAGTTTTTGCCTACTTCCTCTGGCCTCTCAGTTAACAGTCACAGTGGTCTGAGGATTTCTGGCCGTACGCTTCAAGAACGAGTCTCTCTCATCAGGTAACCAGCAGTGTGTGAGCAGGATGAGGGATGGGCAGAAAAGCAAGCTGTTGAGGCTTGGTGACGTTAACCTGAAGCAGTGGTTCTGTACACCTCTCCAAGGGGCTGAGCTGAGGCACGTAGGCTGAAACAGCTCTGTTACTTTCCAATTTTGGAATTCACTGCAGGCTCTTGTCTATTTTTGGTATGTTTGTCTGTTTGATTTTCACAGATAAGGGTCCTGGAGTAATATCCTCTGCCAAGCAGCGCCCTCAGACTCTTTTGGTGGTTGAGAAGGATCCCAAACCTAGCAGTTGCAGGGCGTTATCAACCAGTATGTTGAAGATGGATGGATCTGGTGCTCTGCTGGCCAAAGATGTCAGGGCTGCGAAACCAAAGTCCTATATGAACCCCACAACCAGCTTCCGGGCTAAGATGTCAAGGAGCATATCTGTAGGGGAAAATCTGTACCTTGGTTACTCCACGGAAATGTTGACTGATGGGAGGACTAGCCCTCCAGTGGCAGAGAAGATGCAATTTAGCTCCACAGAAGATGCTGAGAAGATTAAGTTACCAGTGAAAGAAAACGTTCCAGTGAAGCCAGCGCTTCAGCCAGTTGTAAACTGCTCATCTCCCAAGTCCTTCCACAGCAAGTTGGCATCGTCCAACCGAGCACATCTGATTCTTGACATTCCCAAGCCATTGCCTGATAGACCCACACTGGCCTCCTTCTCACCCACTACCAAAACAAAAACCTTGCTTGAGCCACAGTGTCCACAGTCGCCTGCTGGGGTCTGTAAAAAGAAACCCTCTTTTCCTGAGGTCCGAGCCTCCAAGAAGGAGAATCAAACTGCTGGGTCTTTGGTTCCTGGTAAAGAGATCCCAACAGGACTTGCTAAGGAGAGCCCAGTGGAGAGTTCAGTCTCAAGGACAGGTTGCCAGGATGAGCCAGGGGTCACTAATCCAAAGCTGAGGGAGCTGTCAGAGGGTCATCACCTGAGGTCTCCAGAGGGCACACTGCCCAGGTGCAGGGAGAGGATCACCGGGATCGCCTGTGTGCTAGACAACCAATCTGGACTTTGCCCACTAGACCCCATCAGGCCGAGGTCTCCTACGTCTATAACTGCCTCAGCACAGGTCTCAGGTGTGCATGGATACCCATCTCTTATCTTCCCCCTTCTGTCTCCTGTCTTTGTGAACCGCCTCACGATCCCATCACATTTCTTTACGTCCAGCTTCGGGCCTGTCTCGTCCTGTCTGCACCTGTCTCGTTCCATAAGCCATCCCCTCAATGGTGAGACACTTCTTCAACCTGACATCTTTATCTCAGTCTTTAATTTCCATTTCTCCTGGGTCTTATGTCTGAAGATCCTTCATAGCTGAAGGTTTTGTAGACCTTAGCACTCTCATGTTTTTAGCTGTGCAATCACCTGTAGGGGCTCAAACCTCTTTCTGGTGATGTGCTGGGTATCCCCGTGAGTGTGTAGGTTACATGCCCTGTGCCCCTCTTGGAGCATGTCTGACCAGCAGATGAAGGTGCAGGCCAACATGAGCTTGCTGAACATGACAGCAAGCACTGATAATGGTGGCAGTGAAGTTATGCCAGGCAGCTCAGGCTTTACTTTGTTAATGTGCAAGTGTACAGGGTGCAGAAGGGTTTGCATACAATTTTCTCAGGTGAGGTAAGGCTTGACCAAGGTGAGTTCCTTGCTGTAGCCATCTGTGAGAGGGAGAAACTCTCTGCTGTCAGTCTGCTTTGAGGACATGTCTACAAATTGGGTATGAGATGCACATGCAGGCCTAGCGTTTGGGTTAGAGCATAAAGAGTATGGATTAATTTTTGAATTATCTCTAGTTTGGAGAAAAAGTTACGGAGTGGGGAACTGTTTTACTTGCTGAAAACAGCTCTTGGATCTGTACGGGCCCTGGTTTAAGGTACTTCAGATGAAAACTAGCAGGTAAATTCAAACTGAAGTTAAAATCCTGCCCTCCAAGGCAGGAAAACCTCCAGTGGCAGAGAAGACACAGCTTAAAACTTTGTGTCACAACCTGAAAGGAAATATGCCTTCCTAAAATACAATATGAGTTAAGTCGTGCAATAGGAAGCTTGATGTGAACCACTCCACTGATACCTTGTAGCTTCAGGGGGCTATACAGTGCAGTTTTTAATCCCTTTTGCTGTGTTGTTCTTACTCATATCTGAGAAGGGACTCCTCTGTAATCCTCTGATCAGTTACCTTCTGCGGTGCCAGGCTGCTCCACCATCCAACACAATGGTTAAGCGCAGTATTTCTGCACCAAAGCGTTGCAGAAGGAAAATCTGGTTTTCAGGATCAAACTCCCTAAGGCTGAAGCACTCTTACGTAAAACAGAAAATGTGCTGTTTTGTCTAAGGGAGCTGCTGTTCTTACACCATACGGCAGCAGCTCTGTAGAACAGTGAGAGATCCTGAAACTTTCAGACCCTACCCCCACAGGGGTGAGGTTTCCTCCAACAGCAGATGCAGCCTGGAGCTGTGGAGTCTCCTTCTGCAGCAGAACACTAACAGTCCAGTTGTCAGTGCTCTTTAGGCTGAGTTTTCTCTTCCAGACCTGGGAATCAAGCTGTGTATCACATGGGTTTTGGTCAGCTGCTAGAAATCTTTGTTTGCAGAGTTAGCACAGATAGTGCAGAGAAAGTAATTTTTTTTAAAGCAGCTCCCAATACATCGCATGCCCTGACAATATTTAGCAGCATCCTTTCATGAGTTAGGATGATTTAGCGCAGTAAATCCTCGTTTATTTTATTTTTTTTGTCTCAGCAGACAGCTGTCAGCCTTCAGATTCTCTCAGACCGTGTTTCCCAAATTTTCAGTGGAAAAGCTGTTTAGATCCAAGTTGACTATTGCTGTTTGTGCGAACAGTTTACTGTTGCTTCTTGTGAATCAGGGTGGCAATTTGGATTAGAACTGTAGGGTTGACAGAGACCTGTTCTGCTTCTGGCTTGCTCTGTCACTTTGGGTTTCCACTTAATTTTCCTGTCCTTCCATTTTCCTGCCTGTGTAACAGCCGCAGATAAAGAGACTTAATTGTGTTTGGTAAACCATTTTGACATCTACAGCTAAAATGCTGTAGGTGTGCTTAGTGCTGTTGCTGTGTTTAATACTGCCTGCCTATTTCTGAAAAGCTATGCTCTGCACACTCGAGAGGCAGAAAATACCTGTTACTCAGTTTATGTCTGTGACCTTTCTCCAAACTGGCAGCTCACAGAGCTGAGACCAAACTAAAAAGCAAGATCAGAGGAGAAATTCAAGAGTGATCATGAGAAGAAACAAAAAGAGAGGACGAGGGGGGCAGCACAAAAAAAAAAGCAGGGAGGAAGGGCAAGAATCCTGGACTGCACTTAAACCTGCTGCTCAGACTCTACAGGTTGGGTGATTTGGGACCAAAAATTGCAGAAGGAAAGATTTCCTCCTGCCCCTTTGTTCTTCTAGATGTGTTTGTTTATGTATACATGTATACACAGATGTCTTTCTACCTCTGTTAGTTTATACATCATTTAGATGTATTAAAAAAATCAGCTAAGGTTCCCTCCAGCCTGTTCAAAGATGACGTTCTTAGAATTGCAGAAATAATAGTGCTAATGTGACCAAGTTTTGTTTTTAGGTAACTAAAGGAAGTCAAATGGCCTTTGTCCAGGCCTTTGCAAATTGAAGATAACTGCAGGTTGTGTGTGTGTCTGTGTGTTTGTTCGTGGTTTATGTCTAACTCATGAAAGTGTTTGTTTTATTAAAACATTACAGGCCGTTTGTCAACACTCCTCTGGACCTCAGTCCTCACTGGAGAGCACTGTAACAGTTCAGTATAATCCTTCATGCTCAGCACTAGCTGTACACTGTGCAGAGGGATGCATGAGGGGGAGCGTGAAGATTTCTAACTAGGTGGAGGCTAAATTGGAGGCTGCTCAGATCAGTCCCTTTTGCTGTTGGAAGCCTTGAGCCAAACTTGACTAATTGAGAATGGCATAGGTAATCTGTCCTTGGCTAAAACAGAAATGTGTCATCTGAGAAAAAACACTGCTGACTTTGGAGGGGCTAAACACTGGAAAAAAGAAGAACGTTTGAAACGAGCATAATGTCTAGGTAGCATGAAGGAAAAGCTCCTGTAGGACTTGCGTTTTAATGAGTGGCTCAAACCAGCCCTAAAAATTGACTAAGTGTGTGCACATGGTCTTTCAAATATATATTTAAAAAATATATACTCAGCTATGAGATTGCGGATATTGAAGTGTGTCTGTGCCTTAGTTTGGGTTTTTATTGTTTCCTCCCCTTCAGAGTTGTGCATCAGCGTGGAGCAGTGTGAGCACGTGGTGTCCGAGCTCCAGGACAGCATGCGCAAAGCCATTCATCTCTACCGCATGGTGAGTGACCTCGGACAGGGGCCCTGGTACAGCAGATTGGCTTCACAGCCCGCGAGCATCGAATGCATGTGCTGGCTGGCTCAAGATGTTCTCTGAACTGGGCGTTCAGTGACGTAAGCTGCCTGGTTGCCCGCTTCACTGCACCTCAGTCTTGAACTGAGGAGGCAGAAACTCCTGATTTCCAGCTTTTTGGATTTTCTGACGGCGTGCTATGGTACTCTGAGCAAATCAATTAACTTTTCAGTCTGTTTAGCCTATCTGTAAACTGAAGATAACAGTACACTCTTTTTCAAAGGGGTATTAGGGAATTAGTTAATATTTACACAGTGCTTCAGAGATATGAAATATTATAGGAGCTCCAAGTTTTATTATTCCCATCTGTTCTCTGTCTTTGATGCCTGGGAGAAGGATTAGCAAATGTGAGATACAGTGGGAATCCAGCTGTGAAAGGGAATGTGCAGCCATTTGCCTGTCCCTCTCACTGCTAGACCAGAGTTACATACAGAGAATTCTCTATGATTCTTTGCTTAGCACCGATCTGTCAAGTCTCCTGCAATGAGTGTGAGCTTCTGCCATGTGGTCCTCTGCTGCTCTGGCCTTAAGTGCTTGTGTTAGCTCTCTGACCTTGCTCTGTTCCTGTGACCAGCTGCATCTGGCAGACAGGAAGAGAAGGAGACTGTGGCCCTGTGCTGCAGCTGGGAAACACAGCAACTCTTTAGGCCCAGTCTAAGGGGAACACTACCCGAAAATGTGCTTCCCATCTCTATCCTATTGGAGTAATGCCTCTGGATTTTCTGTGACTAGCAGTATTGGGTGCATACCCTGCTATACGACTACATTGGCAGGCTCAAATGTGGAAGAAAAGGACGCTTGAGTCATCTGCAAATCTTCATGGCTTCGCTTCCCTAAAGGGCTGAAACTGCTTACTTGGTGCTCTACCTAAACCCGAATGCATTCTTATTTTTTCCTTTCCCTTTCTATTTTCAGGTGTTAAATGATACGGAGTCTTCTACTGACAAAGATAAAATAGCGGGCCTCCTGACAGAAACATTCTCCTCAATGAAGAAAGAATTGGACTCTCTGAAGGATGAGGAAGAGCTTCCAAAGGTTAAGGAGGCACTGGCAAAGCCACAGGATACCACTAGCCCACCGAATGAGGGATGCGGTGCCAATCTACCAAGTCCCAAGAGTTTGGGAGATGAGCAGACACTAGCTCTGCTGGAACAGTACTCGGAGCTATTGTTACAAGCTGTGGAACGACGCATGGACAAAAAACTCTAAAAGGGGTGGCTTTCAGTTGTTTGTGAATGCACAGAAATAATCCCAAGAAGAGGACCACAGAGAGAGCTTCAGATCAGTGCTGTCATCGCCCTGGTCTAGGGCTGGTGGGGAGACCTTTATACATTGATTTTCTCAGGCCCCTACAACTGACTTGCTCTAATTCTTATCAATGTGCTGGCCACAATTTTAATATTTTTTTCCCCAATGGTCTTCAACTTCCTGTCTCTAGATAAAGTCTTGAAAGAGGAGTTTGGAGAAATTGCCTTGAAATTTCTTCATAGCCGGGAAGTCAGGATGTTTGGCGCCTAAAGAAACAAAGAAAACCCAGTTTATCCAAGAAATTCTGAACTGCTAACTGAAAACAAAGGAGTCCGAGTGAAGCCAATCCCTTCCTCTCCAAGGCTTCATGAAAATCAAGAAGCAGACTTTTTATGGGTTTATTTATTAATTTATTTTTCTGACTGTTGCTCTGTGTCACGGTTGTGGCCGTTATCTTTGTCCTTTAACAAAAACTGTCAATCCCTTTGCCATATCCCAGCGAGAAACAATCTTTGTAATATAAACCCCCGACAGGGAGACAGGCTGGAGTGTCTGTGCAATTAATGAACTGTTTTCTGCTTAAATCTTGTCTTGCCATTCTTTCTTTTCCTGCCTTAGTTTTGTTACTTGGAGTAATCCTACTGTTGTCATGACGACCCTGTCTGCTCTTCTCCTGTTTCAAGACAGCCCTCACACTGTATTTTATCTGCATTCACCTCTGGGGTAAGGCTCAGCAGGCCTTGGACCATGCTTTGGAGATGACTTAATGAATTCAGTGGTATTTTTAATCTGGAATTGATGTTTTATTAATACTTCAGATGGGGTTTTCTGCAAACATTTTAAAAATGAGATTTACATACAAATATGGAATATTGTTTCAGCCACCTTTCGTGATAGGGAATTGGTTATTGACTTTGTTACCGTGACTGGGAAATTTGGGGTGATGATTTATTTGTTGAGAAGTGACATGGAAGAGCTGGTTTCCACCCCGTATGGTGTAACTCTGGATTTGAGAGATCTTCAGTGCAACAGCTCATCCATGTCATTTGTTATTTCACTGATGCCTTGCTTTTCCAGGAAAACAGAATATTTACATCTCTTACCTTTTGTAAAGCTATTTCAACTACCAACAGAAAATGCTTTCCCAAGAACTTCAAACAAGATATTTTAGGATGTGATTACCACCATTTCCCCTGGTGCTTTACAGGAATTCACTGCTTTCCATGAATTTCTGGTCTGAGAAACAGGAAATCTTCCCTTCTTGCATTTGTGTGTGCAATACTCTTCTCCCTCTGTGGAGCTTCTCTAAGCCCATGTTAACTTTTGTTTGTTGTGACTTAAAACTGTCCAGTGGTGTTTTTTTGGTCTACGATAAGCTAAGGAAAAAAAATTTCAAACCAATGAAATTCTTCAGCACCTTCCCCCTTGCTCCCACTCCTTTCCACAACAGAGAAAGATACACAAAATGATTTATCTTTTCCTCCATCTCCAGACTATCTTGTATTTATTTTATGGCAGAGCAGTGTAATTCCAGTTTATAAACCTAATGTGAGCAACAAGCTTTCAGTGGGAGAGAGACTGCTAGCATCTGTGGAAGTCATTCAGAGGCAGCCAAACTGCATCACTTGGTTCCACAGGTTCCAGGCTTGCACAGTTGTCTTTCATTTTACTGTCCTGGTTGTCATCTCTGAAACCCTGTGGCACTCGGCAGTGTGGTCTCTTGACCTCTCTCTGTGACTGGAGATCTGCAGTGCAGCCTTTTTTCTACTGGGACTGGTGTAGGATGACCTATTTCTTCCGAATATCTCCAGGGCTGAATAATCTGCAGTTTTCACTCTCCCCCTAACAGGTTTGCAGGCTGATCACCACTGCCGAGTGCTTCAGGAGCTGGCAGTATGGGCAGCACTTTGAGAGATTTCCAGGTACTCCTGCCTGTGATTTAAATCTGCCTAATCACGTTTCAGGTGTCCTTGCTAACCTTTCCTTCCATGGGCTTGTACTGAAACTTTAAAAGTGTTATTTTCTAGTCCTGTCTCAGCATTGCGCTGTGTTGAACCAGCTGGTGTGCTTGGTCCCGTGGACAGCTTCTCTTGCACAGACAGGTTTCGCAAAGGAAGGCAAGTTGAAAAACAGAGGGCAAATTTCTGGCTGTTTCCTTGAGTGAAAAGGTGTGCTGCAGGTGCCACGAGTGGAATGTGTGGTGGCAGTCATGTTGGGTCTGTGATGGAGTTAAGTGTGGGTCAAGCTTGCTTTTGGGGTGATTAGTTCCTCCACTTTCAGACTGTGAACATATGTCCTAGTATACAGGAAATTTCTCGCTGTACTGGGGCCACAAGACACTCAGGTAAAATAGCAGTCCCTTCAACCCAGGTATCTTTTGGTACTGGCGATAATGGTTTGAGGGTCCTTTATATTACTTCCCTGTGCAATTTTATTCCATTTTATTTTTTAGACTTTGAGGTAAGTGACAAAAAGGGTCAGAGATGATACAGAAGAGCCAGTGGTGAGAATGAAATTCCCATTAAGGTAAAGAGCAACAACTAGTCAAGCTGGTATGAAGATACAAAACAAAGCTCCTCAGAAATAAGTCACGTGAAGCAAGTCTGATCTTTAAGCTGATCAGAGTAGGTTTTGCTTCCTGGAATGGATTCTGCTTGGAGTCACAGCTGTATATGGGAAACCAGAGGTAAAATCTGATCAGAATGATGGTAAAGAAGCGTTGGGCAAGTAGATCACTGGAGGATGGCTGTGTAGTTTAAAATACATTAGAATAGTAGAGGTAGGACACTCAGGAAAAGAGAGTAGATGTAGAGATGGTCTTGGCCTGAGGAACACCATTTGGCCGATACCTCTGAAAGGTGTACAGAAAGGCTTCAGGAAAGTAGATTTAGGACCGAGATGGTGATCTGTGATTAAAGAATGAATTGGAAGGGGTTTGTTTTTAAATGCGTCCTATTGGGCCTCTTGTTTCCTCCCTTGCTGTCCTCGAAGCAACTATTGTTTCTTAAATGGCAAAGTCATGAGCTGTTTGCCCAAGACTTGTATGTTATGCATTGAGTGGTAGAAGCCCAGTAAAGGAGATGCTGGTGCTACAAGTTTGTTGCTGAGGGGAGCGAGGAGATAGTGTTGCTCTTTGTAGATTGAGACTGATCCAACTGATTGTACCCTGCTAACTTCCTATTGCTGGCAGTAGGAGATGTTCCTAAAAGTTCTCGTTTACACAACAAAGAGCATAAATGTGTTACATTTTGTTGCACCTTTTGCATATGTTTCACCACAGGCTGTCCATTGGGCCAGGTAGAGGAATACTGAGTGGTAACTGCCTGGGAAGTGAAGAGGCTTGTGGGAGGAGGTAATGAACCTGAGTCTGTCCCCCTTAGCGGTCTGTGATCCCTCTTACTGGTTTACCTGGGTATTTAGCATAGGCACAACCAGATATCTGTATTAAGGCAAGTTATTTGTTTAACATAAAGCCTGAAAAAAATAATTTGGACATACCTATCCTCTTTATATACATTTTGTCCTCTCCAACCCAACATTCCTGGTCTAAATGAGAATAGTTGATTGTTTGGGGTTTTTTTTTTCATCTTGTATATAATATTACTTTGCCTGTGAGGACCCCTCAGTTCATTCTGAGGCTCTCTTGAACCAGTGCAGTAGGAAAGGCTGCAACCAGAGAGAGCAGCAAACTCTGTATATTTTTCTTCCCCTGCTGCAGGCAGGTAACACCTTCCTCCTCCCCATCCCTCAGTAGCACCCAGGAGCTGAGTGTTTGAGAGTCTGTGTTTCTTCCACCTCCTCTCTCAGGTTGACTTCTCCTTTCCATGGAACCTCCTAGGTGATGGTTGAGGCAGGCCTTACAGCAGCCTCTTCTCCAGTCCCCCGTTTTGCCAACTTCATCACAACTCAGAGGAATTGGGACATTTCCAGGAGTAGAAACGTACAAACTTAATTTTTTAAAAGGAAAGTATATGTACATAATTATATATAAGAAAAAAAAATGAAATACAGGTATTTAAACACCATTGGTAAATTCATGCATGTGTATGGTGTCTCCCCCCGCCCTACCCTGTTGGATGTGTAGCATCCAGGACACTAAATGACAAAAACCTCATTAAAACAATAGGCAGGTCTTCTAGCAGCCCCTTCCTTCTCTGAATAAGACCAGCGTGTCCCATATTTCAGCTCGTGTGTGTAAATAACACAGGGCACAGCTGGGGCTGTTTTCGGATGGGAACCCGCTGCGAAGTGTGGAGCGGGAGATGCGCGGGGCAGCAGCGTTGGGAATAAGCCATGTCCACTCCGCATGTGTTACCTGCACCCTAGGCACCGGCCAGGCAACCCTTTACCCCTGTTCTCCAACACTGCCCTTTTCCTTCACCTGTTTAAGAAAAACAAAAAACCGAAACTCCCTCCTGCTTTATTTATAAATGTGTGTTTTTATACTTTTGGCTTTAGGTAACATAATCCTTAAAAATGTCTTTTTTTAATTATTTGGAAAAAAAAATAATAAAAATCGTTTGTTGGGTTGTTTTTTGTTTTTTTTTTTTTTTGCACTGTGAGGCTCCCTCTGGGAGCTGTTTTTAACTCTGTATTCATTTGTACTTCGTGTCTTAAAACTGTTTCAATAAAAATGTGATCATTTGTTACCGAGCTGCGGCACCCATTCGCCAGCACCGCCCGCGATTCTTCGGGGCTGGGGGGC